GGAATAAATTGAATTTTTTTTCAGATATTAATTGTTCCTGGTGTGTTTTGACAATATAATTTTTATCATAAATAGGGACTACTAATTGGTTTTGTCTATTATAATATGATTTTTGAACTTTACTCTCACCTATATTTTCCCATGGTTTTCTTAGTTGTAAATGGTCAAGGTCACTCTTTCCATATCTTCCTTCTCTCTTTTATTCCCTGCTCTGGTAAAATTTCTTGAGGATGATGAGAAGTCATGGCTGAAATAAATAAAAATAACCATCTTGTTTACTTATGGTACGGGGCTGAGCATATTTTGCAAACATAGGAAATTACAGCAATAAAGGAACATCAGCAGGGGAGTGGATTGTTAAATCCAAGTCCATCGTTACTGCAGAAATATATAAATCAAATAAAAATGTACACAGGAAATTACTTTGAGAACTTTCCAAACCATCTTAATGTTCACAGTATCCAAGATGAGTACATTCCTATGTAGAGTAATATAGTAGTGGAAGACAAATTGTGTTTCACAGCCTTTCCTCCTTCACAATATATTTTAAAAATCTACCAACTTTCTTCTGTTTCATTTAAAAAAAAGAAAAATATGAAACATGCAAATATTTGGGGACTGTTCAAAAAGGGATTCCTGCTTACCAACAACAAAAAACATGGCTAAATCAACTTTAAGTTATGAATTACTCAAAGGGAATAGTAAATTATTTAAAAGAAGTTTACTGAACTAAACCAACACACACACAAATAAAGTTTAGTCAAGAATTGTTAACAGTAATAAGCAGAGAATGTGTATTTAAAGTCTTTCTTTAGAAAGTGTCGGAAAGAGTCAGGGGTGGTTGTACACAGCAACATAGGAGGTTGAGCCAGAGGATCCAAATTTCAAGGCCATTCAAAGTAAAAAATGCAAAGTGCTAAATCACCCTTAAGTTCTCTTTCTGGTACTAGTAAACACATTGCAGAAAAGAAGAAAAATAAAACATCCAAGTAGCTCAATTATCTCCAAGTTTTAAAACTCAGACTATTGAGAGCATCCAAGAGAAAAGGATGGGTCACCTAGAAATGTGTAACTATATAATTGTGAAATCCTTAGTCGAAACTTCACAACACACAAAGGAATTCAGGGCTATTTTCAAGGGATGAAATAATAAAATTTTCAACCAAGACATCATATTCACAGCTACTATCTTTCAAAAGAGAAGGAAAATGAAGACTTTAAATACATAAAAATGCACACACTACTCATCAACACTAGATCTGTTCTCCACAAAGTACAAAAGGTAATCCTTCATACTAAAATGTAAGTGTGCAAAGCATATGAAATTCTAAACATTTCTTGGCACAAACAATTCTATTTTATTGTAATGATGGGTCTCAAAACATGTAATTTTGCAATAGAATTTGAAAGAAAAAAGCATAAAAACAAAACTGTAAATAGGCATATATACCTGTAACAATAATTTTGAAAGGACACATAAATATATTCAATTTTTAAATAAAGTGAAGTCAAGTTGGTACTCAAAGTATGAGTAGGAGATTCTTTATTTTTAGGATGTTTTTTTGTTGTTGGCAAATGCAAGATGACAAAATTCTGATCAAAACAAACCTTGGCTATCTAAATTAATTCTAAAAATTACAACTGTAGGTGTATTCCAGAGGATACTCTAAGTCTAAGGACACACACATGCTGAAAGCAAAGGGATATAAGAATGACACATACAAAAGTGACTGAAGAAAACCTAGGCTGTCTATTATAGTACACAAAACATAGTTTAAGACAGTTACAGGACACAGAAGATGTTTTACATTTTAAAAAACCTTTAAGAGGCAAAATAGAGAAAAGGAACCTTTCCCTAGGTTCTGAATTAAGAGCAAATACATTCACAGTGAACATCCTACTTCCACACACACAAAGAAAACATTGAGAGAGTTGAATGAAAACCAAGAATCACTGTCATCCTAGGAGACATCAATCCCCACTTACTGAAAAGGGAAGTAAAATGGTGAAGTAAAACAGTGAAGCAAAATGGTAATTGCAAAGCATAAGACTTTGAAAATATTTTGAAACTATTGTAGACTAATTTAATCCCTGTTCTTAATCACAAATGGGATATTATGCTGGATAGACAAATTTTATGCATTAAAACAAAGGTTAATTAATATTTAAGTGATAGTTATTTTGTAACCAACACGGAATAAAAATTTGAAGTCAGTAGGAATGTTCAAAAATCCCTAAATATGTGTCAGTTGATTAAAAACAGCATGCCCAAGAGTGTTCAAAGAATTGAAAGATAAAATTAAAAGATGTTTATACTACTTAAAGTTATCTAAAGGCTCCAGGTAATATTCATCAAACTCCCATTGTTAAATTTTCTTCTACAGAGAGAAAAATTAAATTGTTATGAATATCCCCCAAAATGCAAATAAAATTAGAAGAATATTTTCCTGCTAAAAAAAAAAATACTAAAAGTTACAGCATTCAATTGTAAATGCAGACATGGAGTCAGGTAGACAGACTTTTGAGTGAGTGTGGTAATAAGCCCTGACATCAATAGCAAATTAAAAACATTGAACACCAGTGTTGTACAATGTTATTCAACAGAGCCATCATGGGGGA